TCTACATTTTAAAAGAATTGGTTTTCAGGATTTTTGGTATTGATTCTGTAACAATCAGTTATGTCTTCTTTCTTCAAGTTAAGCTCCATCTTTTCCAACAATTGCCATACTACTTCATTCACTGTTTTGTTCTCTTGAAAACTAATTCCCGTTATCAGAATATTATTCTTCTTCTCAGTTTGTTCCAAAGTATTTAATTTGTATTCAAGAGTTTCAACACTTTTGACCAGTAATCCATTTTGCTCTGCAATTTTTTTATTTTGCACCATGCTGTCCTCGAACAGCTTCTTCTGCTCTTCATATTTTTGTGACATGAAGTCCATGCTTTTTCTAAATTCATTCATATCATTTTCATGTTGTTTATTGATTCTGCTTTCAAAAGCTTTAAATTCTTTTTGTATCATTAGCTTAATTTCGGCTAGAAGCTCCTTTTTATCCATTTCATCTGGTACCTTAACCTCACTGTTACAACATAGCACTGAATTTTCCTTATCCAAAACTTTATACTGGATTCCACAGCTCCTGTGAAATGCTGAGTGGCAAACAGAACATTCAAACAAAGATCTTGAATATTTTTTACAAAATTTACACGACCCTTCCACAATTTTTTCACTCATTTGTTTAAAAGCATATGCTCTCACACCTAACCACCAAGATACATACATCAAGAACTTTATGCAATATAGAGCCAATTGAAATTACCAATATTGGCCCGAAGACGTATGTAAATCTTGGCTTTATATTATATTTAATTAAGGTAACGGACCAATTATAAGGACCGACTAGGAAGTGTTTTCTCTCGGCGTAGAGGTGTCAGAAAAGTAACTATTCGTTACTCGAGTACTCGTTACTTGCCCGGATCCGAAATAACGAATACAAAAATCGCCGGCGCTGTAGTTGTTTGAGTACTCGAACTCGAATCGAAATTCTCTATGCGCATTGCGCACCAAGCTTTGTTAGAATTATTTTTTTATTTTTTATCCTTTTCAAAAGTATTTGAAATTTTGAGTTACTTTATTTGTATTTGTTTGTTGTTTATACCAAAGAATATTATAATAAATATTATTATCATCATACATATTTTTGTTTATTCAACCTTCGCCCAGATTTAATAATATATTCCAGTCAGAACGAGTATTTGAGTAACGAATATTTAGTAACGAGTAACTAAAAAGTAACGAATAGTTATGAGTAGTCAAAAGTAACTGTATTTTACATCTCTACTCTGCCGGACCATCCGTGGACCCCTTTTGCTGTATCACAACTCATCAGCATGGTTAAGTCTCGCCAGGGTCCCGCAGAGAGAAAACAACCAATTTTTGGCTTCATTCCGGAACCAGGTTTAAGACAGGTAAAGTGAAGACAGAGTCTCCATCTATTTTTTGGTCGGCACACCAAGTGCGCACATTGAATACCCTATATTGGACCAACATTTTCTTTTCAAAAAGTATCAATATTGTAAAAATATTGAAAATAAATATTGGGTGTACAAAGTTTTTGAAAATTGAATGCCAATATTGAATTAATATTATATTACAATATTGTTTCGATAATATAAAATGTAATATTTGGCCTTTATTTCATAAATCAATATTGTAGTGAGAAGTCTTGGGCCAATATTCAAATTACTAAAAAGTTAAATAATCTATGAAAACAATATTGGTACAAGATTATTTTTAAATATTGTTTCTACATAGTTAAAACTAATGTTGCCCCAATATTGGTAGGTACTATGTTGATTTAGCAACAAAAATGAATAAATATTGGCCCAACTGAAAAACGATGTTTACCCCATATTATGTGCTAATTGGGTTTATACAAAAACATAATGGAAGCAGTTTTTCTCCGGTTATCTAAAGATTTTAGATTGTAAGTTTCCATTATGTCTATTCTGGGTATATGCAAACTATACTCACCACTTTCTTTGTAATATATGTATCCTAAAAATTTGTTTTGTACCTTTTCTATGTCATATTTATAGTTTTTATAGAATGGATTCCATACCACTGAACAGTAGGTACTCTAAAATACTAACATATGCCACATATAATCTTTTTATACAGTCTGTGTTTTGAAACATCCTACAGCTATTGACTGTACAGGGTCCCAACTATTTCAGGGACAGCATTGATTGCTATCTTGGGAACGGTTGAAGTTACGAGGGCGTTTAAATTAGAAAAAGTTGCCATTTTTGAAGAATGTTAAAAATATAAAGCTTTTGAGTTTGAACTTTGTCTCTAAAATCAACAGATTTTAAAATATTTGATAAAATTGTTTTTGCAAATTTTCGAAAATCACCCTGCATTTTCGAAATTTGGCAACAACGAAAACATATTTTCAATATTCTTCAAAAATGGCAACTTTTTTTTAATTTAAGCGCCCTCGTAACTTCAAACTTAAATCGTTCCCGAGAAAGCAATACTGTCCCTATGAAATAGTTGGGACTCTGTATAAGAAACATGTAGCTTAAAGCTTAATTGGGAGTCAAAGATAATTCCAAGATCCCGCATTTCACCCACCTCTTGCAACACCGTCTCGTTCATCTTATACTGAAATTTTTAAAGTATTTCTTTCTAAAGAGAACAACATAACATTTGCTGATATTAAAATGAAGATCATTTGCATCAGACCAATGATAAAGCTTATTCAAATTTTCCTGTAGTATCTCGATCATGTTCAATTTTCAAATATAACTTCAAGTAATCAGCAAACATTAAGATTTTGCAATTTATTATTTCCTTCATTATACTATCAATGAACAGCAAAAAAAATAACGATCCAAGGTTTGATCCATGCGGGATACCTGAAGTCGCCAAAAAACTATCAGCAATGTCCTTCAACAATCACCTTTTGGTATGATGAATCAAAGAAACCTATCAATTTATCACTGAACCCGAACTCTGCATGGAGTTTTCTTGAGAGAACATTGTGTGACACACATCTAAAGTTATATTTAAGTATTAGTGTTATTGTTATTACAATAATTATTGTTTTTGAGGCATTTGGCCTTATAATTTTTAAGATTAACTTCTATAGTTGAAGGTGGATGAAGTTGATCTATGCTGACAAAGCTATATGGACATCTCCTTACTTTAGCGTTATTCCTATCAAAACTAAATATACGATTAGTAGTATTTAGCACTCTATTTAATTGCTGGCAGTCACAAAATTGAATAAAATTGATCAAAGTTTCTATATTTTGGTCATTATAACCACTTACATAAAAGTCATTCAGTCTCGCCTCATTAAAGTCCCCAATTACAACAAAATTGTCTTTGCAAATAAACTCCAAACTCTCAAAATATGAATAGAAATCCGCCCTTTCTTGTACTGAACAAGTTGGAAGCATCGACACAGCATAGGCAATGGTTAGAACAACTCAAGCTACAGAACAAGACAAACTTTCCACATCGGTCTCCCCATACCTAAATCCACCCTAGTTCAGAAATCTGTGGTATTCGATTCAAAAAAAATATTCAATCACCTACCACTTGACATGACATTCGCGTGTTACAGTCTGACAGAAGGTTCAAGAGCGCGGTGAAAAAAAAAATTGCTAAACTCTGTCTAACCAAAGTTGAACGTTGAAGGTCACTTACTCGATTATATAACAGACGTTGCTTTTTGCTGTTGTCTTTATTGCACGCGCACTGTGTTTATCAAACCAATTTAGGTCCGAACGTGTGAATCCTATGGTTACAAGGATGAGTAAGTGACCTTCGAGGTTCAACTTTGGTTAGACAGAGGACACATTTTAAATTGCATAAATTGTCGCGTTTTCCTCCTTGACATTATTATTTTCATATGGCTTTTTAAATTGAATTGGACTGTAATTTTGATTGGTAGGTAATTGGTTTTAAGGCTTTGTAGGGTTGTGGCTTTGTCAATGAATACCATGTATTTTGGACATTAAAGCATGATGTTTTGATTTGATTCGAGTTGATTTGATTTGATCCATAAGAATCCCTAGGTTTTTCGCCTCTTTCTCCCAGGGTATTTCCACGCCCATATCTTTGATTTTGACGGTGGGATCTATATGTGGGCCTGCACTGAATAAAATTGCTTTTGTCTTCAATGGATTAACTCTTAGACAGCTTTTGCACACCCAAGCAGTAAAACGCTTCAAGTCTTTGTTTATTAGCTACTGCATTTTCAATATTCTCCAGATAAAATGAGAGGAAGTACTGAGTGTCATCTGCAAAAATGTGGCTTTCACAACTGAGTTCCCCATTAGCCACATCTGTCGAGTATAGTGAGTATAGCTAAGGTCTCAATATAGAACCCTGGGCTACACCTGAGGTAATGGCTCTGGGACTTAGAATGAGATCCTGGATCTTAACCCTCTGATCTCTCCTATCAAAGTAATTTTCGAACCATCTGATTCCATAACCATGTTCTTCTTTGTGTTAGTTTAGCGTTTATCGTCTGCTTAAAGGTATCCACCTCGGTAACCAATATATTGTCACAACCTTCTTGTGACGGGGGTGAAGGGTGGATGGATAGAGAGAAACTTATATAAAAATAAATGTATGTTTGCTCTGAACAGGCATGAATCCTCCAGGATGCATGCCTGTTCTGTGCAGAGTCCGATAGGGCCACACGTTGGACGCTACTTAGGAATGTCGGTTTAATGTTACTAATGCTACGCCGATTTCTACTAGTTGTTTAACTGATCCTCATCTAGAGGGGCTTTCCTAGGGTGGCGGCATTAACACTAGATGACGATGCAGTTTCCCAGAGAGGCTTCCCCAGGGTGGCGGTACTTGCACTGGGGAGACTCGAATTCAGAGGGGTGTTCCCAGGGTGGCGGTACTAACACTGGTTCAAGTCTGTCTGTTGCTCGTCTTGGCCTGCTATTTATATGAATTTATTGCTGAATTGCAATAAATATTCGACCGAATCGGCAATTAAATTAATAAGTTTGAATACCGAGCCCTCCTTCCCTAAGTAGCTAGTTGACAATATTTGGAAAAAGAACAAAACATTAAATATTTTTCTAGGAGAATACAAATTTGACAGGCTTCACCACAACGGTTTAAAGAAATACAAAAAATATGGACCAGTTATCAGAGAAGAAATAGTTCCTGGAGTAAACCTAGTTTGGTTATTTGATCCAAACGATATTGAAGTAATGTTTCGTTGTGAGGGAAAATATCCACAAAGGAGAAGTCATCTGGCTTTGGAAAAATTCAGATTAGACAGACCCAATGTTTATAACACTGGAGGATTATTACCTACGTAAGTTACTATTTTTGTCATAAACTATTTTATTTATTTTTTAAGTTTATTATGCAAATTTTAAGATTTAATAACAATTTAAAAATTATATGTATAGCTATTAATACATGGGTTCCATTTTCCAGCAATGGTCCAGAATGGTTCAAAATTCGTAAAATATTCCAAAAGGGTCTGAGTGGTCCTCTTGCCGTCAAACGGTTTTTAAAAGGAACTGACGAAATAATCCTGGAATGGCTAGAACGGGTGGAAATTATTAGAGGCAAACAAAATCTAGATTATTTACCTGAATTGTCTAGGCTCTTCTTAGAACGTATGTAATGATAAAAAAAAAACTGGTAGGCATAAACTCTGATATACAAGGTTTTACAAATTTGATTAAGGCATGGTGATATTGGAAAATGTGAAAGAGATGAGGCTGCCTAAATTGAGAATTGAGACAAAGTTCCGCAATTTATTTCTCAACAGACTGCTGTTATGGAATTTGAAAAAATCTAAGTACCTTGAAAATAAACAAATTGAAAAAATAGAGTTAATGATGGCCAAGTGGCCACCCAAAGACAAAACATAAAACATTCGAATTTAACAATCTTATCTTGTAGAAAAGAATAAGTGGCACTGACGAGTGAGGATGTAACACTTATTTTTGTCACATATTCTCGGAAAAAAATAAATCGGTTTTGTTGAGCACTAAATTGTGCATCTTTGCCTTAATTTAACCAATTTGCCAATCTATTATGGTTTCCGATATCCTCATGCATGCATTTGAGATGTATTTTTCTTTTGTTTTTTTGGACTTTTAATATTTATCATACATACCTATTACAATATTTTTTTGAAGGGTTCTTGGTTTTTGGTCATAGTTTAAAAACTACAATGCATTTTTCAGGACATTTTGTTTTGTGGAGATTTCGACTAATGAAAACTGAAAATTAGACAATGCAATCATATTGGAAATATGAACAATGATATTTTAAAAAACGTACCTACATAGAAAGTGTCCGAAACTGTGCTTTTTTCAACTATGATTTAAGACTAAAAACCTCTTTTAAAAAATATATGTATGCAATGGACCAAAAATTCCGTAGCTGTAGGTACCTAGTGTATAATTTACTTAATATACTAAAAAAACAAATCAGTAGTGGGGGTAATAAGTTCAAATTGATTTTTAGTGACTGGGCATGCAACATTAGACCTACTTCTGAAAAGTTTTTCCAGAGATGAACTGAATAGACATTCAACATCTTCCAAATTAATCAAATCAGCTTTAGATACAAATTCTTGCATTTTAAAACTGGATAATGGACCCCAACTGTGGAAGAAATTCGATACCCCGTTGTACAGAAAACTCAAGAAATCGCAGAAGTATATGGAAAAGTAAGAAACATTGTAATTTGTTATTGATGGTGAATTATTTACCGTAAATGTATGTTAAATTTAAATAAGTTAATATGTATGATTGAAGAATGCCCATAAATTTTTAGTGTCGCCATAGATTTGTTATCATTAAAAATGTCTTTATTCTCGGAGAGATCGAATAATACTCAGACGTTGCTTGAACAGTATTTGTCCTGTCCTGATTTGGACTTTAAAGACATTATTGGTATGGTGTGTGATTTTTTACTGGCTGGAATTGATACGGTGAGTTAGCAATTTGCATGCATTTTACATTATTTGTCATTGTTATTTTAAATGCATGAAATGCAGGCTTTTAGATGGTTTTCAAAGATATATTTGACTTGATAATCATATATTTCAAGGAATGGTATTACTATTCATACTACCTTTGGGACAGTCCATTTTTTGACTGTTGTGATTGGTGGTTGCTGACAGAAACGCAACCAAGTTGAAGGAAAAAAAAAATTATTTTAACGATTGAGCTATTGCTAAAACTTCTTTTAATATCGGTATGTTTAGTTTCTAGTAGATACTGAAAACTGGAAGTTAGACAATTTTTATTAAAAGAAATAATTTCAAATTTATTGTCAAATATTTTTCTTGAAATTTGCTTTCTGGTCTTTTTGCGAGTATTTTTCCATACCTACATGTAATCTAAAGTTCAATTTATCGTTTCTTAAATTCAAATAATTGTTTCCAAAACTCATATGCTGTTCCTAAAATACATTGGAAATTATCGATAATACAATTCTCACTAAGATACTTTTGAATATTTCGCAAATACATTTTAAACGTCTAATAAGATACATATTATGGATTTTTTCGATATACTTATGTACAAATGTTTATTCTAAAATACAAATGATAATTTCTTTAATCAAAGTGATACTTAAATAAGTAAATAAATAAATGTTTATTGACAAACTTGCCATTTTTAAATGAGTACATAGTTCAAATTGATAAAAAAATAATTAAGATTGAGACAAAATATAAATCGATAAAACATACTCACAGTGTTGACGGTAAAATAAGAAAAAAAAAACAGAAAGATAAAAACATCAGCTTCATTATGGTAGCATACATGAAAAAAAAACATAAATCAACAACAATAGAAAGCACAGTTTAAAACAATTTTCCTTACCCAACCAATATACTAAAACTATCAACAATACAAAAAAGAAATGAATGAAAATGAGATTCAAATTTAGTTAAGGTAAATTCATCCATCAACAGCCCTACTCTAGTTCAAGCAGACTTTTTCTAAGCGTATTGCAACTTAGGTTGAAAAAATCAATATCAAGCTCATTTATTACCCTATTGGCTACATTACACATTCTGTATAGGACCATTCAAACCATAGTTAGTCCTGTGAAACTCTATACCAAAAATCTCATTTTGTCTAGTTACTCTCTGAGGAATTCTAAATGGAACTTTTTCCAATAGCTCAGGAGAATTGATTATGTTATTACAGATTTTATGAAGAGTACAGGGTATTTGATTATATTTTGCACCATACCTACAGCCTTTACTATTTAAGATAGAAAAAAAATTTAAATACAAAACTTGACAGTTTTTTTCTATATGTTCTGATAACGTTATCAGAAAAAACAAACTCGCATCTGAAAATGGAGAAACGTAAGCAACTTCGACTTTTTTTAATGGAACACCCTGTATATTATGCGATAAAATGAGAGATCTATTCTTCCTGATTACAAATATATACAGGGTGTCCCAAAAAGATACCGACAAACTTTAAGGGGTAGTAGGGGACATCAAAACAAGCATTTTTGTTTATATAAACATATGTCCGCAAATGAGCCATTTGGGCTGTAGAGCAAAAAAACTCTTTTCATTCTTCGCAATAATCAAATCACTGTTTACTTCTTAATTTTGGTTTATTAACAAATCAATTATGGTTTACAATAATTGTTCAAAATGTTGACTATTTACTTCAATGCAAAAATTGCACCGTCGGGTCATTGACTCGCGAACCCTTTGGAATATTCCGGGAATAGCTTCTACATGGGTACAACTCGCCAGTATCCTTGCTAACAGATCTTCCTCATTACGAACAGGTGTTTCGTAGACTAAACTTTTCAGTCAATGACCCGACGGTGCAATCTTGGCATTGAAGTAAATGGTCAACATTTTGAACAATTATTGTAAACCATAATTGATTTGTTAATAAAGCAAATTTAATAAGTAAACAGTGATTTAATTATTGCGAAGAATGCAAACAGTTTTTTTGCTCTACAGCCCAAATGGCTCATTTGCGGACATATGTTTATATAAACAAAAATGCTTGTTTTGATGTCCCCTACTACCCCCTAAAGTTTGTCGGTATCTTTTTGGGACACCCTGTATATGTTGATCACATTTGCGTGAACAATTTTTGACATATCTCAGGTTAAATTATAAAGAATTTGCAGAGAAGTTCCATAAGAATCTCTATCTTTATAAAATTTCTTTGCAATTTAGTTATAGTTTAAGCTGAGATATGTCAGAAATGGCTCACGCAAATGTGATCAACATATTTGTAATCAGGAAGAAAAGGTCTATCATTTTAACGCAAAATATACAGGGTGTTTGAAAAAGTCGAAGTTGTCTACGTTTCTCCATTTTCCGATGCGATTTTGTTTTTTCTGATAATATTATCAGAAAATATAGAAAAAAACTGTCAAGTTTTGTATTTGAAATTTTTTTCTATCTTAAATAGTAATGGCTGTAGGTATGGTGCAAAATATAATCAAATACCCTGTATATACACGCCTGGCAAGTAAACATCTTGCATGCCAATTTTAATGTGATAGAATGAAATGTCTAGAGAAAGTCTTAGGTTGAATAGAGAACGAAAACGATTTTCCCTGTTCCACCTCTAGCATTCCCAGCGCTTTTTGCTGGATGTGGAACAGGGGAAATCGTTTTCGTTCTCCATTCAACCTTAGACTTTCTCTAGACATTTCATTGTATCGCATTAAAATTGGGATGCAAGATGTTTACTTGCCAGGCGTGTATATCAAACCGTGTTCTTCTAGACCTCAATTTTGCAAATTGAGAAGTTTGTAGAGTTCGCCATAGTTTATATCATCAATTGGAATGCCCAACTTAATATGCATATTCCAGACCTGATCTAACATAGCTACAATACAGTACCTTAAAGCAATTTACAATTTACATCATCAAAACTTGATAGTGTTCTGGCAACAAAACCCAACATTTTTAGTGCCTTATTGTTGATAAAGTTTATGTGGTAATCAAATCGCAATTCATCGATATAAATTCCAAGATCTCTGATTTTATCGACTCTCCAAAAGTTAATTATTGATATTATAGGGAAATAGGTAGTATGTTATTTCTTTTTCGGGATGTCAGACCACTACATTTCTTTACATGCGTTAGTTAAGTCCTTGTAAGTAAACAAAAACCTTAGATTGTATCAATGTCAATATGACATTGTTTTTGTGTGACACAATCTGAGATTATTGTTTGCTAACTAGGCCTTAACTAACGATTGATCTCGCCGCTCTAATGGCCGTTTTCCCAGCAATTGTCTTAAGTTAGGAATAGTTAAGGTACACTTATATTTTAAGTAGCCCTTGAGACTTGTTGCGTTGCTCAGCGGCCCTCAGGATCAACCCTTAATAAAGAACAAAGTACGGTCTGGCAGCGTTGCATTTCTGTCAAAAGAATGTCGAAAATAATCATAATTTTTGTTTCTATTTCTAGTTGATGTTGATATTTGTTAACTCTACAGGCTGAAGCCAATGCTTCAGATGTCAGATGTCCTCTTCACTATCCTAGATACTGTCTGGTATCCGAGCTGGTATCCATTCCTATGAAATCTGCAACACTTGATGCCCCCCCTGTCGCTTAAAACCGTAAAATTGTCAGTAGCTGGTTTAAAAGGGACTGACTGTATTGTTCCTTCAAAAGAAATTAATAATAAGAGTATGTCCTTGGATGCGCTGGTTTCTTCGTAGTGTTTTTGAATACAAAGTACATCAGGATGACGACAGCTTGGCAAAAAATATAACCTCAAATACTGCATGGTATGTGAACGTGAATTGTGAACCTATTATGTTAAATTAACATCTATTCTATACCTCCATCCATATCCAATTGATCCGCAATCTAAGGAATAATGTTTTGTATGGTCTCGTTCCTCGACCGAAACCTGTTAAAAAAATAAGTAAATTGTCCATCCAGTAATTAGCTCTTTCATAAGTTCTTCATAGGAATCCGTTCCAGATAATATCGAAAAAAATCTAAATCTTCGTTCAAAAATTCCATTATTTAGAGACAACAATCCAATTTGACAAATAGATTCAAACAAACATGCCAAACCAAAAATGTCAAATCAAATTTTGAGGTTAGAATTCTCTACTTTATAAACTTAAGACGCCAAATTTGGCCACTTAAGTTAAGGAGTCCTTAAGGGGCAACTAACAAGCAAAGCAAACGAAAAGCTACCGCTAAGGATACCTTACCACTAAGGAATCCTTAAACCATCCTTTACGAGTGCTGGGAAAATGGCCATAAGAGGTGTAGTTGTTTGAGATTTCCTTGACCGTTTATTGCCGGCAAATTAAAAACAAAGTTAATATTTGATAATCAAAGGGTATATTATTTATAGTTATTTATCTACAAGCGTGCGGTAACTAAGGTATATTACACGATTTTGCGTGCGGTAAGTACCACATTACCGCACGGCGTGCGGTAATATTATTACCGCACGCTCTACCTACATAGGTACGTACCTGTGATTATCTACCAGAGATAAATTACCTACCTATCACCTAAATTCTACTTGTCCGCTGTCAAAGGTGACAAACGCATTTTTTTTTCATAATTTTTTAAATTTCTTTCGGATATTTTGTTACCGCACGCTAGTAGATAAAATACTGTATATAATACGTATGGTAATTAGGTTATTACCTAGAGATTGCAAACCTCGCCTCACCGGCTCGGTTTGCAGATTTCTCTCGCGTGCGGTAATAACCTACTTACCACACATAATATACTATAATGATACTAGTTCGATATGAACACCATAACGAAACGCGTGTAACGTTAAACCACGAGGCGTCAGCCGAGTGGTTTAGTTACACAAGTTTCATTAATAAAGTTCATATCGATTGTGTATCATTCAAAATTTAATCTGCGATGGTCCAAATAGATTTGATTTGCCTTGAAATAGCAAAAACTTTTCAAATTAAAATTCAAAATTTAGCAGGTCCCCTTAC